GTGGTGTTAGCCACAGGCTACAGGCAAAGGGAATCCAGATCCCCAAGCTGCCTGAAGTTATCTAGAAGCAGAGAGAAATAACCAACTGAGACAGTCCCAGAGGGCCCCCGAGCTTCTTTTCCATTCAAATGCTCTCTTTGTTGCTAAGAAGCAAACCTACCCCATCCCCACTGGCACCAGCCTGCCCATTGTTTTCCTAAGAGACTATCCCAAGCCAAGAGCTGGGGCTACCTCTCCCTTCCAGGAATGGCAGCCTGGAGGTTCCACTGCAGTGAGAGCATCATATAACTGAAATTCTCCACAGCTAATGGTTCTAGAACAGGGCCCAAGTCAGGTGTCATGGGCAGACCCATAAAGGGCCCAATCACTGAGAGCATTTGACCTTGCCTCTTCCTCCCAGGCTTCACTACCTGTGGCGATTAATGAGACCTCTGCAATCTGAGCAATGGACACAAGGCTAGAGCCTAAACCCACTGAGGCAGGAGGACCACTTGAGCCCAGTTTGAGACCAGACTGTGCAAAAGTTTCCCTAAAGGCTTCCATAAGCACCATAAACAGCAGTTTTCCCTTATTTATAACAAGCAGACCCTTCCACGTTTGACAGGCCAAAGAGTTGCTCTGCATTTGATCAGGGCCAGTCTGACCAACGGGTAGGTTTCTGGGTCCTAACACCTGGCCAGGTGAAATATCTAGATTCTGAAATGTCCTCATTTTTCCAGGGTCTCAGAGCCTCAGGGTGACATAGCTTCTGGACATAAATGCTAGGACATTTGATCAAAATGGTAGGCCTTGTGGGTTTGTTCCAGAGGTGAGAAAACAGTAGATATTCCACCAGAAAGGCGCAATGGCGAGATTGCATAAGTAGATGCTTCTTTAGGTAGAAGGAGATAGATGGGTCTGAAGTGGGAAGTGCCAGAGGAACCCTTTTTCTAACTAGGGGGCCTCTTTGATATCCTTCCAGCTTTTAGCTCTCAATGTGATCGGTAGACTGTCTGCTTGACTTACCCAACCTCCCACTCCCTCTCCTTCTGTCAGGTGTCTCCTTGGGGGCTATCCATCTCCTCTGTGCTCACCTTCCATTCAGCTGAGAAAAAGGAAGGAGGATTTCCCAACTCTGTTTTCTTCATCCATGCATTCATTTTTTTTTTTTTTTGAGACAGAGCTTTGCTGTGTTGCCCAAGCTGGGGTACAATGGCACGATCTTGGCTCACTGCAATCTCCACTTCCCAGATTCAACTGATTCTCTTGCCTCAGCCTTCCAAATAGCTGGGATTACAAGTGTGTGCCACCACATCCAGCTAGTTTTTGTATTTTTAGTAGAGACAGGGTTTCACCACGTTGGTCAAGCTGATCTCGAACTTCTGACCTCAGGTGATCTACTCGCCTTGGCCTGCCAAAGTGCTGGGATTACAGGTGTGAGCCACTGTGCCTGGCCCTTAGTGGAGTTTTATGGGCATATTCTATGATGTTGAATGTCTAGTCTGTAAATGCTTGCTTAGAGAAGATAGTGGGCTTACAGAACTTTTGAATGCCCTCATTGGTTTCGGAGAGGTGGTGAGACTTTTGGACTCAAGTAATGCCTACGTTGATGTTAACTATCTTTATTAATTTACCAAAGCTACCAATGATGTGGTGTACAGATCACCCCAAACCTTGCTGACTTAAGACACCCGTCTTGGCCTCCCAAAATGCTGGGATTACAGGCGTAAGCCACGACTCCTGGCTTCATCCACACATTTTTCTCTCCAGAACCCTCTCTCAGCATGTCACCTTCTGCTCAGTGGTAAAGTTCAAACTCCTCTGAGGCATATCACTACAAAGAAATGTTTAAAAACTAGAAAGGGCTTTCTAAATGATCGAGTCATAACCTCTTGCTTTTACACATAATACAATTCAGGCCCAGAGAGAAGTGTCCTGCCCAAGGTCATACGGCAAGGTATTGGCAGGGGGAGTATTGGCAGGAGGAGAGGCCCAAGAACCCAAGCCTCCCGACTCTCAAATCTGTGCTTTTTCCACAAGACTACTCTGCTTTCATCAACCTCATTTGTCTATTGCTGTGTGCAAATCACCCCAAACTTGGGTGGCTTAAGACATCAGCAATCATGTTATTACCTCTCATGGTTTCTGTGGGTCAGGAACTCGGGAAGGGCTCAGATGGTGGTCCTGGCTCGGGGTCCCTCACAAGGTTGTAATCAGGGAGTGACTGGAGCTGAAACAGTATGCGGTGGGGAGAATGGGGCTGGAGCAGCTGGGGACAGGCCAGGCACCTCTCGCTTCATGTAGTGTCAGAGATCTTCACGTGATCTCTCCATGTGTGTCAGTTTGGGCTTCCTCACGGCATGGTAGCAGTCAAACCAATCACAGGGTGGCTCATGGCTTCAAGTGCAACTATTCCAACAAGCAAGGGGGAAGCTGTATCCTCTTCTACGACCACGCCTTGGAAGTCATCTAGCTTCACTTCCGCCATAGTCACAAAACTGCCCAGCTTCAGGGAGAAGAAACACAGACCCTACATCTCAATGGGGGAGTGTCAAAGTCACACTGTAATAAGCTCATGCGAGACAGATGATACTGTCATAGCGATTGTGGGAAAATACTCCCTACTACACCAATTCTACTTCTTGCTGTTCCCTCAGCTGAACCTCAGGCAAGCCTTTTGCTTTTTCGCTTGCAGCTGTCAGCTGGTCCCTTACTCTGGGGGGCCCTTCTCTCTTCTCCAGTGCCTTCAGGCCCCAGTTGGAGTCCCACATCTTAAAGTTTCCCTAAAGGCTTCCATAAGCACCACAGCAGCAGTTTTTCCTTATTCATAGGAAGCAGGCACTTACACACGTTTGACAGGCCCAAGAGTTGCACCACATTTGATCAGGGCCAGTCTGACCAATGGGTAGGTTTCCACATGCGGGTCCTAACGCCTGGCCAGGTGAAACATTTACATTCTGAAACATTCTCCTCATCCTTCCAGGGTCTCAGAGCCTCAGGGTGACATAGCTTCTGGCCATAAATGCTAGGGCAAAGCCAGGTTCACAGTGCAGCGTCTCTTCCAAGGTAGGCACATGGGCAGATGAGACTGTGCAGAAGCCCTTGGCAGTCAGATGAGGGGTGGCAGTAAAATGTGTTGGCAAGGGCCTTTGGCTGGGAATCAGGAAGCCAGGGTCCTGGAACCAGCTCTTTGGCTAATTTGATGCATTCATGATCTGAGACAAACTTCCCAACCTCTAGTGGACATCGGTTTCCCTATCTCTGCCGTATAAAACCTAGAGCTTGCCCTTTCTACCCACCTGTAATCCCAGCACTTTGGGAGGCTGAGGCAAGTTGATCACCTGAGGTCAGGCGTTCAAGACTGGCCTGGCCAACATGGCAAAACCCTGTCTCTACTAAAAAGTGCAAAAATTAGCTGGGTGTGGTGACAGGTGCCTCTAGTCGCAGCTACTCAGGAGGCTGAGGCAGGAGAATCATTTGAACCCAGGAGGGAGAGGCTGCAGTGAGTCGAGATCGCACCACTGCACTCCAGCCTGAGAGACAGAGCAAGACTCCATCTCAAAAAAGAAAAAAAAAAAAGAGAGAGACAGGAAGAACCTCTCAAGAGTAGAAAATGCTTTTAAAATGCTAATAATTCTTGTACTGTATTTGTTTATTCTCTCAACCACCACTTCCTTCCTCTCCAGCATGTAGTCTCCAAGGTAGTGGGTGAGTCCGTGGGCACATGATTATGGAACTGGGATGGCCCAACAGCCTTTCCCTACACATGTACAGTAGGACTCAGACAGGCAGAGCTTGGCAATGTAGCCATTCCCCAGTTGCTGAAGGCCTCACCCCGGGCAGATTTACTGAGGCTGAGCAAACAGGCACAGAGCTAACAATTCCACCCTACTCTGTTCCAACACCCACCCCCCACCCCCATTAGAAAGTTCTTTGTTAGGCTACTAATTGGCTGTGTGGCCTCAGGTGGATTCCTTCCCCTCTCTGGGTCTTAGTTTCCGTAGAAGAAAGTGGACTTATCACCAACCCTGCTTCTGGAGAGACGCTTGATTATTTCTTGACCTCCATCATTTCTATCGTGCAAGGGTGGCATGTGGTCTCTCCAGGGCTGGGAAGGATTAAGTCAGAATAGCTGTCATCAAAACAATACATGATTTCCTTGAAATAAAGGGGGCTCCCTTAGGCACCTTCACCTCTTGGGACTTCAAGGCTGGCTGAGGCAGAGTGTGGGCCCAGGAGTTAGCAGACCAGAGAGGCAAATCTGGACGTGTGAAGTGACCTTGGCTAAGTCCAAGAATCCCAAACTTGCAGAGCTCAAAGTCACTGCCAAAACCCTCGAGACAACCCATCGGCTGTCAGCCTCCAGAATGAATGTGTCCCAGATGGCGTTCACATGGCTACACCAGGGTTTGGGGCAATTCTGTGTCAGCTGAATCTTCATCCCTCTTCATCCCACTCTAGAAAGCATATCACTTCTCTCGACTTCTGAGAAGAACTTGCATATGTGTGCAAAGGCTGGCCACCGCAGCACCGTTTGTAATAGGGAAAAACTCAAAACAACAGAAATGTCTCCCACCAGGGGATTGATTCAATCAATTATGGGACAGCCATATTACAGAAAGCTATACAGATACTTTTTTATGTATTAGACATAAATGTGTGGATAAAGTTATCCAAGAAGTATTTTTATTTTGTTTTAGTTGAGAAATAATTGTGTATATATGTATCTGTGGAGTACAAAGTGATGTTTTGATGTACGGCTGGCCCTACTTATTCATGGGTTCTACGTCCAAGTATTCAACCAAGCTCAGATGAAAAATATTTGGGAAAGAATAATGGATGTTGTGTCTGTACTGAACACATACAGGCTTTTTTTGTTGTCATGATTCCCTAACAATATAACAACTATTTACATGCCATTTACATTGTATTAGGTGTTACACATAATCTAGAGATTATTTGAAATATAAGGGAGGCTGTGCCTAGGTTGTATGCAAATACTCTGCCTTTATTTCTTTCAGATTGCTTGCTCTGTTGCCCAAGCTGGAGTGCAGTGGTGCGATCTCGGCTCACCACAGCCTCTACCTCCTGGATTCAAGTGATTCTCCTGCCTCAGCTTCCTGAGTAGCTGGGACTACAGTTGCGTGTGACCATGCCCGGCTAATATTTGTATTTTTAGTAGAGATGGGGTTTCCCCATGTTGGCCAGGCTGGTCTCGAACTCCTGACCTTGTGATCCACCTGCTTTGGCCTCCCGAAGTGCTGGGATTACAGGCGTGAGCCACCGCGCCCAGCCATACTATGCCATTTTATATCAGGGACTTAAGCATCCTTAGATTTTGGTACCTGCAAGGAGTCTTGAACCCACTATATGTATACATTGTACAATGATTAAATAAAGTTAATTAGCATATCTATCATCTTACATACATATCAGTTTTTTTTGTGGTGAAAAGCATATTGTTAAGTAAAAATAAAGAACAAGCGTGGGGCCAGGTGCGGTGACACGCCTGTAATCCCAGCACTTTGGAAGACCTATGTAGGCAGATCACCTGAGATCAGGAGCTTGAGACCAGCCTGACTAACATGGCAAAACCCCATCTCTACTAAAAATACAAAACTTAGCCGGGTGTGGTGGCACGTACCTGTAATCCCAGCTACTCAGGAGGCTGAGGCAGGAGAATCGCTTGAACCTGGGAGACAGAGGTTACAGTCAGCCGAGATTGCACCACTGTACTCCAGACTGGGCAACAGTGAGACTCTATCTCAAAAAAAAAATTAAAAATTAAAAAAGAAAGAAAAGAAAAAAGAAAGTTATTTATTAGGCTACTAGTTAGCTGTGTGGCCTTGAGTAGATTACTTCCTGTCTCGGCCTTAGTTTCCTTACAGGAAAAGATGATCTCTGAGGTCCCTTCTGGCTTTAACATTCTGAGTCTCTAAAACTGGGAATTTACCTCCTTGTAAGTTTTGACCTGGTTTTGCCTTCTGGAGTCACATAGAACTTAACTTTGTGAGATGCCAATAGCCAAGCAGCCCATCGTACACAAGAAGTCAGCTAGCAGCTCAGCTCCCTAGGGCAAACGTCATGCCCTGGCCTTTCACGCTGTCCTAAGAAATGGAGTTGTAGAATCTGGTAGTGGTTAAGATCACAGGATCTGGAGTCAGGCAGCCTGAACTCTGACTGCGGACTTTGCCACTTCCCACTGTGTGACCTTAGGCAGGTCATTCGTGCAATTCTCAGTGTCCTATCTGCAGAAAGGGAATTAGTAGTACCAGCCTCCTGGGGAGAGGGCGTGGGGATTAAATGAGGTAACGTGTATTAATCGGGATGTGTGGTAGGCAGCATAATGGACTCCCCAATATCTGCACATCCTAGTCCCCACAACCTGTAAGTATATTATGTTACAGTGGCAAGAGGGAATTAAGGCTGCTAATCAGCTGACTTTAAAATAGGAAGATCAATCTGGCCCAGCGGCTCCCACCTGTAATCCCAGCACTTCCGGAGGCCAAGGTGGGTGGATCACCTGAGGTCAGAAGTTCAAGACCAGCCTGGCCAGCATAGCGAAAACCTGTCTCTACTAAAAATATAAAAAATTAGCTGGGTGTGATGGCGTGCACCTGTAATCCCAGCTACTCTGGAGACTGAGGCAGGAGAATCGCTTGAACCCAGGAGGTAGAGGCTGAAGTGAGCTGCGATCGCACCATTGCACTCCAGCCTGGGCAACAAGCGAGAAACTCTATCTCAAAATAAAATAAAATAGGGAGATTGGAGAATGATCCTGGATTATCCAGAGAGGCCCAATATCATCGTAAGGGTCCTTATAAGTGAAAGATAGAGGCAGGAAAGTTGGATTCAGAATGCTGCAATGTGAGAAAGACTCCACCAACCACTGCTGGCTTTGAAGATGGAAGGGCATTGTGAGGCAAATCACGCAGACAGCCTCTTGAAGCTGGACAAGGCAGGGAAACAGATCCTCCCCTCGAGCCTCCAAGAGGAACACGTTTAGCCTAGTGGAACTCCTTTTGGATTCTGACCTACATAACTGTAAGAGAATACATTTGTGGTTTAATTTGTTTGTAGGGTCCTTTTGGGGGTTGTTAAGTTTTGTTCTTGTTTTTGTAGAGACAGGGTCTTGTGATATTGCCCAGATTTGTCACAAACCCATGGCCTCGAGCCATCCTTCTACTTCAGCCTCCCAAGTAGCCAGGACTACAGGCACATATCACCATGCCTGGCTAATTGTTTTTTAATTGTTTTGTGGAGGCCAAGCACAGTGGTTCATGGCTGTAATCCCAGCACTTAGGGAGGCCGAGGCGGGCCAATCACTTGAGGCCAAGAGTTCAAGACCAGCTTGTCCAATATAGCAAAACCCTATCTCTACTAAAAAATACAGAAAAATACCTGGGCCTGATGGTACATGCCTGTAGTCCCCACTGCTGAGGAGACTGAGACAGGAGAATCACTTGAACCCGGGAGGTGGAGGTTGCAGTGATCTGAGATCAGGCTGCTGCACTCCAGCCTGGGTGACAGAGTGAGACTCTGTGCCCCCCCAAAAAAAATTATTTTGTGGAGATAAGGTCCTTGCTATGTTTTCCAGACTGGCCATGAACTCCTGGGCTCAAGTGATCCTCCTGCCTCAGCCTTCCAAAGCTCTGCGATTACTGGCATGAGCCACCGTGCCTGGCCCATTTGTGTTGTTTTCAGCCACTAAAGGTGAAGCAGTGTGTTGCACTGGCAATAGAAAACGAATACAGATGGCTGCCCTCCCTCCTGACTGGTCTCCCTGCCCCCACCCATGCATCTCCCCAATCCATCCCTCACAACACAGCCAAAGCATTGTTACCCAGGACCTTACTCAAACCAAGTCATGTCCCTTAATACAATTCGTCTCCCTGTACCTCAAATGTGCCCCAGGGCCTTTGAACCTACTGTTCTCTTTGTTTAAAAGATGTCATGGTCCACACTAAGCAACACCTAATCTGGTTTCATAAACTTGCTCAAAGATGAAAATGTTGCTTCCTCAAAGAAGGCTTCCCTGATCCCCATCTGGGTCAGGTTCTCTGGGTAAGAGCACCCTGCCCTCCTCTGTAGCACTTGTAGGCTTTTAAATAAATCCATGTGTTTATCTGCCTCAAGGCTATGGCCTGCCTTTGCCAGCAAGTGTAAGCTTCCCAAGGGCAGGGCTAGTGTTTGTCTTACTCACCTCCCTTAGCCCAGTCGCTGGCACATAGGAAGCACTTCATAAGTGGTATCATTATTTTATTTCTGAATCTTCACCATTCTGATCACCTCCCCAAACACTCCCTAGCTGGGAGCGTCCTTTCTGTAAAGTGGTGCCCCTACCTTGGTGCAGTGCTCCAGGGGTGGTATGAACACACAAAGTAGAAGCTGACAATGCTGTCCCCACCTATTGGGGACATCCACTTCTATTAATGCTGCTTAAGGCTACTTTCCTTTGTCAACAACTGCATCATACTCTCAGCTGCACCAGAGCTGGAGGTCACTTAAACCTGCTGCAATCAGGACATCTGCCACAGCCGCTTCCCACCGTCCTGCTTCTGTGTGGTCACTTCGTGTGACGTAAGTTTCAGCTTTACTCTCGTTCCTGTGGGATTCCATCATCTGCTTGGGCCATTGCTGTTACCAACCTTTCCATGTCCCTATTAACCAACCCTCCTGGCCTCGTGTCATCGGCAAAACTCAGCAGTGTGCGTCCTTATGCTGCTTCCAAATCCTGGTCAACAGTGGTGCAGGACAAAGGCTAGAAGCAAGGCTCTGGAAGTGCTACTGGAAAGCTCCTGAGGCCGGGTATCTATCTGGGGGGAGAGGGGGCCATGGGGCAGGGGCGTGGGTGTTTCATCAGCAATTCAAACTGTGCCTAGGCCAAGTTCTTACTAGGCTATGAAATTGGGAACGTTATTAATTTCCTAGAGTTACCATAAGAAAGTACCACCAACTGGGTAGCTTAAAACAACAGAAACAGGCTGGCACAGCACGATGGCTCACGCCTGTAATCCCAGCACTTTGGGAGGCCAAGGTGGGCGGATCACGAGGTCAGGAGTTCAAGACCTGCCTGACCAATATGGTGAAACCCCATCTCTACTAAAAATACAAAAATTAGCCAGGCGTGGTTATGCGCGCCTGTAATCCCAACTACGGGAGGCTGAGGCAGGAGAATCACTTGAATCCAGGAGGTGGAGGTTGCAGTGAGCTGAGATAGCACCACTGCACTCCAGCATGGGCTACAGAGTGAGACTCCATCTCAAAATAATAATAATAATAGTAATAGAAGAGCTTGTGTCCAAATAAGGTCATGATGTGAAGTTTGGGGTGGACATGAATTTGGAGGAAAACGCTATTCAACCTGCTACAGACAGCCATTCTTTCTCATAGGAGCTTCGCAAGGATAAGGCAGCACAGGCAGGGCTTCTCAGACTGTAATAACCAAGAAGCACCTGGGGATTTCGTTAAAATGCAATTTGGAGCCAGCCAGCCTGGGGTGGGTCTGCATTTCTCACATCTCCCAGGTGACTTCTTTGCTGCCTGTCCTGCTTTGAATAACAAGGATGTAGGTGAAAGAAAGTGCTTTGAAAACAGGTGTCAGGTAGGGGGATCACATTTCTTTTGTAGTGAGTTTTTCTCACACTCTTGTTTCCCCACACCTGAATCTTGTGTGAATTGTGGAAGAACAGAAAAAGTGTTTTGGTTTCATTCCCCCACAAAAGCAGACCCAGAGACAAGGATTGGGGTTCAGGTAGTTTCTTGGGAAGACACAGATGGAAATAGGGAAAGGGAGAAAAGGGAGAGAAACCACATTAAAGAGCAGGTTACTCTTAAGGCACCTAGAGCTCCATCCGGCTTTAGACTGCTGGGAGACTGTGGGGACACTCCTCAGAACTGTCCTGTCAGAGGGCTGGGGCATTTGCCCACCAATTCCTCTCCCCCATCAGTTGAAAGTTACCCAGGAGTGTCACCTCCTCCACATTCTCCCGAATGCTACAGAAGGCCCTCCCTCCTGCAGAGAAGTTGCAGGCGTCGGAGGTGGGCAGCAGTGGCATGCTACCAACAGCCCTTCCCGCAGCTGCAGGTGACCTCAGCTAGGCTGCAGAGATTGGGGAGGGAGAGGGGTCGTCATCATCTACTAGAGAAAGCTTCCAGGATTTGCATGTTATCTGTGTCTCTACCATTCTGTTTTGAGTGCATGAGCTACTCAAGCGAGCTCTTGCTTACGGTTGTGATTATGGCTGGCATCCAGCACCAGTGGACACCTTGCCCATACGGTGTCATGGAAGAATCCGTTGATGGCCTGCTGAAACCCACCTGTGCCTCCCCTTCCTGAGGCCTGCCTTCCCACTGGTAAAATAGTGTATACTATGGGTACATATTGGGGAGAACCCACCCCAGAGTAATCGGT